GTCCCTCTGGGTAGCTGGCTGTGACCAAGCAGTGACCACAACCTTGCCCCTTGTCAGCTCTACTATACACCTGGGAATTCTGATCATTGAATTATTTCTTTACGTTTGATTTGCTAGAGGATGAGATCATATTTTTATTCTGCAAAAGACATTTATGATTCCTGTCAGATTTTGTCAATATCAGTTGGTAGCAATGGCTAAAAGGACAGGGCTGAAAAGCTGGAGAAATTTGAATTAAAATTGAAAAGTTGAAAAGCTGGAGAAATTTGAATTAAAATTCTTCTTGGCTGCCTTGTCAGGAACTACTCAGGGTGGTAGTTGAAGAGAGACATGTACAGAGTCAGTCAATGCTTATTAAACATCTTCTGTCTACTTTGAGGAGATTCTGTAAGTATGGAAATAATGGGCAGCAGTGAGAGTTAAAAAATGTAATTAATTATTTAATGGGACATTTATGCTAGCTTGGTAAATGTTACTTTTATTTCTATCTTGGAAATCAGTGGCCAGTTCAGGAATTTTCTAGCCTATTAGAAAATCTGTAGGCTATCAGAAGCCCATCATAGATTTAATCTAAATGTTCTAGGCTAATTCTAGACCTGCCTCATTTTCCCTGAGAGTTACAGACTGAGGGTGAAGGGTTAGTATTTTCCAAAGTTGGTCCCAAACTAGAGGAAATAAGTGAGATGATGATGGTAAACAGCATACAAATGAACATTACTCATCCTTGTGTATTTAATGTGTATCAGGAAAATACTATACATCAAATGTATGATTTCACAGGAGAGGAGTCCCTGGGTGGCAAAACTGGTTAAATGCTTGACTACTACCCAACAGTTTGGTGGTTCAAATCCACCCAGAGGTACCTCAGGAGACAGACTTGGCAGTCTACTTCTGAAAGATCACAGCCTTGAACACCCTATTGAGTAGTTCTACTCTGTACATGTGGAGTTGCCATGAGTTGGAAATTACTTGATAACAATTAAAAAACCAGCATTACCTAAGATAGGGAAGTAGTGGTTCAGTGGTAGAAATCTCACCTTGCATGCAGGAAACCTGAATGTTTAATTCCCAGCCAAAGCACTTCAGGCATAACCTGAGTACTCAGGTAGTACCCATCTGTCAGTGGAGGCTTGTGTGTGGCTGTGATGCTGAATAGGTTTCAACAGAGCTTCTGGACTAAGATGACTAGGAAGAAAGGCCTGAGAATCTGCTTCCAAAATTCAGCCAATGAAAAACTAGTAGACTCGTAAACTTTCACCCAAACCACAGTAAAAAATGAAAGAAAAAAATCAGCCAGTGACAACCCTGTGGATTGCAATTATCTGATCTCATTATGCCTGGTGTCATCATGAGTCAGGAACAGCTAACAGTAGCAGTATTACCAAAGATGAGGTGAAGGGACGCATTCAGGGTGTGGTAGTTACGTTTGTGTGTCAACTTGGCTGGGCCTGGTTGAGTGGCTGGGCACCTGGTGGTAGTTATTCTCCATGATGAGACTGGCAATCCACTCCATAGTGGGATCTACCACAAGCAGCTGATTAGCTGCCTTTAGGATGTAGTCTGCTTCCTGTATATAAGGAGAAGCCTTGGGAATGGTCTCTAGCCTATGGCACACTTGGACTGTGCACGTAGCCATGTCGTTGCTCAGCAGTCTGCTATGCTCTGCCAACCTTGGAATTTACAATGGACTTAAGTTAATGGCCTGCCATGTGGTTTGGTAACATCAGGACTGTGCCTTTTTACTTGTCAACCTTGGGACTTCTCAGCTTCAGCAGCCAGCAGCTGTCTGAGTGAAGAAACACTTCTAGCTCCAGTGGGCCAAGAGCAGGAGGCAGAGCTGGACCCCAAGGTTGAGGGGCTTTCACCAACCCCCTAGAGCCTGGCACTTG